ATGTGGACGGTGGCACTGGGGCCTTCGGTGGAGCTCCCCATGGGGCCAAGAAACGTGTGAGTGGGGTGTCGAAATTTGGGTGACGCATGTGGACGGTGGTACTGGGGCCTTCGGTGGAACTCCCCATGGGACCGCGAAACGTGTGAGCGGTGCGCCGAAATGGGTGTGGGTGACGCATGTGGACGGTGGAACTGGGGCCTTCGCTGGAGCTCCCCATGGGGCCACGAAACGTGTGAGGGGTGTGCGGATCCCTATGTGCGGGACGTATGCGGACGGTGACACTAGGGTCTTCGGTGGGGTTCCCTATGGGGCCATGGAACGTGTGATGGGTGTGCCGAAGTAGCCTACGGTGGAGCTCCATATGGGGCCACGAAACGAGTGAGTGGGGTGCCAAAATGGGTGCGGGGGACGCATGTGCACGCTGGCACTGGGGCTTACGGTGGAGCTCCCTATGGGGCCACGAAACGTGTAAGGAGAGTGCCGAAATGGGTGTGGGGGACGCATGTGGACGGTGACACTGGGGCCTTCGGTGGAGCTCCCCACGGGGCCACGAATCGTGTGAGAGGTGTGCCAAAGTGAGGGGGGTGACGGGAGGAGGGAGGAGGAGGGGGAGGAGGAAGGAGAGGAACGCAGGGACCGTCTCTTCAAAACGAAGACCCAACACCACAGGATGGCTGGGAATTAACGCGAGGGACTAGAGGCCTTCTAGATGGGGCCGGAATCAATGGGGTCGGAGGATCGCGCCACCTCGCCGATGTATCGGCGATGCATAGGGGATGCACCGGCGACGCATCGTCGACGTCGGAGATGCATCGGCGACGTCGACTTGAAGCAAATCGGGCTCCACCTCGAGCCGCATCGGCGATGCATCGGCGATGCGGCGCGACCCTCCGACCCGGTCTGCTCCGACCCCATCTAGGATGCCTAGAGAGACAAAAAGAGCGAGCGAGAGATAGACAGAGAATGTGAGGATCGAGAAAGAAATAACAAACGCGGTGGGGGAAAGCCCAGGCATGGGCCACACCACGCCACCCCCTCGCCCATCATCTCCACGGCTGACCCCATGTCTTGTCGGCGGGAACGTTGATTTCTGACACCACGTGGACGGCAAAAACTTGGGGACGGTCTCCGCCACGCAGAGGCAACTATCGCTCAATGCTGGCCTGGTTCAGCCGCCGGTGCCTTCAACCTTGAACGCCAGCGCTGGCGGCGCCGCCGTGTCTTGGCGGCGCGCACAATTTGGAGGCTCGAGAAGGGTTGCCTTCTAAGAAGGCGGAGGGCTTCTAGGGCCTTCTTGGAAGGGCCCGGGGGTTCCTAAGAGGCCTTCTTCGGAGTCTTGGCCTTCTAACGAAGACCATGTCTTCTAACAAGCCCCACCGCCTTCTTACAAGGCCACCCCCCTCGCGCCACCACGTTGTGCGCGCCGCCAAGTGCCGACGCGGCCGGAACCTGCCTACCATCCTCCTCCAGGACAGACTCGCTTGCGCTGACAACAAGAGCGGTTCCACTCTTGCGTCCCTCGCCCTCCTCCCTCCTCTTCATCCTTACTCTCGCAATCCTCGTCCTTCCTCCCTCCCTCCTCCCTCCTGTCTCCTTTCTCCTCGCTCCCTCCTCCATCCTATCTTTTGTTTCCTCCCTCCTGCTTCCTCGTCCCGCTGTGGAGAAAGAATTCCGGTACCACCCCCACCCCCACCCCCACCCCCACCCCCACCCCCACCCCCACCACCACCACCACCCCCACCACCACCACCACCACCACCACCACCACCACCACCACCACCACCACCACCACCACCACCATCGCGACGCGCGGGTCCTTCTGGAAGTGTGGTACCCCTGTTTTGCGGCGTCCCGATTGAGAAATACCCAATCTCCAGCTCGGGGAGGCATCGTGGAATCGTGGATGTCCTCGCTGGAGGTGGCCCTCTGAGGGTGGCGCCCTTCTCCCCCTCCAATCCCTCCCCTCTCCCTGCTCCCTCCCACTTCCTCCTGCCGGTCCACTCCTCCCTCCTCTCTCGTCCCTCCTGCCGCCTCCCTCCTCTCCTCACTCCCCCATCCTTCCACCGCCGTGTGCGGGCCACGGGCAGGCCAGCGAGGCTTTCAGCGAAGAGTTCACCGCCAGCACTCCTCGTGGCCCACGACAGCGGTGTGCCCAAGGCTTCAGACGCAAGGTCCGACTTGAGGCCGTCCTGGGCCGACTTGGGGCACTCTCGGGGCATCGTGGGTGTCTCCAGAGGTCCCTGCAACAGGGGGGGAGGTCGGAGGTGCCCAGAGGTCCTAGGAGACTTCTGGATTCGAAAGCGCAGCGCACACACGTAAGGCAAACGATCGGCTGGGAGCGCATCTTTGGCTCAGGGGGCCACCGGCTGCGCCAGGACACCGATCTGTCATACAGTAATTTGTCAATCCGCGGGCTCTCCAAACCGGTCCGCTTTCCTGGTGCTGGTTTCTCATCCCAGATCGCATTTTTTCGCAACCTGGAGGCGACCTCAGGAGGTCGAACATGGCGACACAAAATCGCCGTTGTCTTCTCAAGACTTCCATGGGTCCTCCAGTCCTGAAAACCTCGCCCCTCTGGCCAGGTCTGGAGCGCGGTTGTGCCAAAATCTCAAAGCGAATCCAAGTATCCCGGCAAAGCAACCTAACAGCGATGTGTAGGAGCATATCTGGAAGCATTCCCCTTAAGATTCAGATGAGAATCCAGTTGTAGAATTCTGTTGTTCTCGCAGTCGTAGTCGCATTCGCGATGACAGTCGCAGCGGCAACGGCAGTCGCAGTCACAGCCTCAGCCTCAGCCTGCCTCAGCCTCAGCCTCAGCCTGCCTCAGCCTCAGCCTGCCTCAGCCTCAGCCTCAGCCTGCTTCAGCCTCAGCCTCAGTCTGCCTTCAGCCTCGGCCTCAGCCTCAGCCTGCCTCAGCCTCAGCCTGCATCAGCCTCAGCCTCAGCCTCAGCCTGCCTCAGCATCAGCCTGCCTCAGCCTCAGCCTCAGCCTGCCTCAGCCTCAGCCTCAGCCTGCTTCAGCCTCAGCCTCAGTCTGCCTTCAGCCTCGCCTCAGCCTCAGCCTCAGCCTGCCTCAGCCGCAGCATCAGCCTGCCTCAGCATTCAAAATGTGGCCCAGGAATGGAATTCTGGGAACTAGAAGAACACGAAGTGGCCTACAGTTGGCTCCGGGCATTCAAAATCATGCCCAGGAATGGAGTTCTGGGCAGTCGAAGAGCACGAAGTGGCCTACAGTTGGCTCCGGGCATTCAGAATGTGGCCCGGGAATGGTGTTCTGGGAAATCGAAGAGCACGAATGGCCTACAGTTGGCTCCGGGCATTCAAAATGTGGCCCGGGAATGGAGTTCTGGGAAATCGAAGAGCACGAAGTGGCCTACAGTTGGCTCCGGGCATTCAAAATGTGGCCCGGGAATGGTGTTCTGGGAACTCGAAGAGCACGAAGTGTGTGACTGTTGCATCCGGTTATTCAGAATGTGGCCTGGGAATGGGGTTCTGAGAGGTCGACGAGCACGAAGTGTGTGACTGTTGGTGAAAAACGAGCCCGGCACAGGCCCGGCCGGCAACTCCCAACGCCTGCCCGGACCCCCCTGTGGAGTGATCTGTGAGCTCTTTTGAGTCAACTAGAAACCTATCAGTCTACGCTGTTAAGTAAAAATGGCGACTGGAAACACTCTGGAGGCCACCAAAGTCCAAGAAACATCTGGAAACCACGAACACCCTGAAACCACGAAGATCTGGGTTTCTGCCAGGGCTGGGCCCCGAAAGGGGCCCCCGACGGCCGAACTCGAGGAACAAAACGCTGCAACTCAAACAAATCCTCTCGTCGGAGATCCAGGGATAACATCAAAATCCGCCGACGCTGTCGGCGCGTGGAAGAAGCTCTTTCCTGTCGGCGTGTGGAAGAAGCTCTTTCATTCGTCGCTTTTTCACTCGTCCTCTCCTCGTCGTCGTCGTCGTCGACGCCATTCCATGCTTTCTCCTTGGTCTCCTTCTCCAAAGCGCCGATCGTCGCCTCTTGTACCCTGGGCCTTTTCTCTTCAAGCGTGCTAGCCAAGCCCCTTCCCTTGATCCCTGCCCCGCTGGCGTGGGGGGGCAGGGTCCGAGGAGGGGGTCCCGGAAAGGGGGGTCCCGGGGCAGACCCCAGGGGGGGAGGTCCCGAGTCAGAATGCCATTTCCGTCGCCGTTCGTCCCTTGTGCTCGGCCCTCCTTGTTCGAGCCCACGAGCACCCAAGAACGCTCCAACAGCGCTCCAAGAGCGCCCCAAGAGGCGATATTTGCGGCTCTCGAGTGGGGGCCTTGATTAAGGACACCCTCTTGTTTGATTGATATCCTACAAGATGGCCCCAAGAGCGCCCCTGAGGCTCCCAAGAGCGTCCCAAGAGGACCCCAAGAGGCGCCCAGACGGATCCGAGAGGTGCTCAACATCCTCGTCGCCCTCGTCGTCGCCGTCTTCCGAGTCGGCGGCTCGAGCCGTAAGGCCATCGCAATCGATGACTCCCAGATGGGGTCAGAGCAGGTCGGGTCGGAGGATCGCAACGCATCGTCGATGCATCGCCGATGCATCAACGATGCATCAAAGATGCAGCGGCGATGTCGGCGATGCATCGGCGCCGTGGAGAAAATCGGGCTCCACATCGAGCCGCATCGCCGATGCATTGGCGACGCAGCGCGATCCTCCGACCCCATCTACCCCGAACCCATCTGAGCGACGAACCAGAAGGCGGGCTTTCGCGTGATGACATGGAGGCCTGTCGCTGCGACTTACGCGGGCAGCCAGCGCGGCACGCCACTTCGGAAAGTGGGGCGCTCACGCACGACCTGGCTTTCGCGCCAACGTCGGCGCAGACGACCCAGTCTTTTGGTGTCGCTCATCCGGGACGCCTAGATCAGAGTATCGTCAGACTTCGAGGCCCGCCACGGCGGGCGACATCCACTGGGCGCGCGCACAGGCGCGGGCCGCGCAGGCGGTGCGGCGATCATGGGCGGCCCCGGCGCGCACGCCTCCTCGAAGCAGGGCCAAAGGCCCACCAGGCCGTCCGCCGACGTCAGGGCGTCGTCTGCGCCGGGCGGGGGGTGGGAATCGGCGGCAAGCCCAGGCGGAAGAGAGAGGGGCAGGCCTTCTCAGAAGGCGGCGGGGCTTCTCACAAACCCTCGTGCCTCCTGAGAGGCCGTCTGCGGCGTCGGAGAAGGCTTGTGAGAAGCCCCGCCGCCTTCTAAGAAGGCCTGCCCCCCCTCACTTGCCCCTAGACTCGCTGCCGAGAGGAAGAAACGTCAAGGGAAATCTTCGAATAAGGACGGTTAGGGGCTACTAGGCCAGTTTGAAAGGCCATTGAGCCGCAATCGTTTAACCCAAACTTCAAACCGGATATAAATCGATATTGCACTCCCAGTAGCTGAATTAGACTAAGACTTGAACTTGCCAACTATTTACCTCAAATCAAAGAGTGACTAAATGTAATCAGGGGTAATAAATCTCTCCTCAGTACATGGCCCTGTGTATCACAACATGATGAGACAAACGTATCCCGAATAAAAAAGGCTAGATATCCTTTTCGATATACTTCCTTCTAAGTATCCTAATTAGATTAGATTGTCTTAGTGATCTTTAGGTCTAGTAGCTTTCTTGGGCCGCGGGGCCGCGCCCATGGCGGCCCCGTGGCCCAAGAGCGCCATGGCGCGGCCCAAGAACATGCCGCAGCCTCGGGAACCGCTCGCCGCCGTTTTGACGGCGAGCCAGCCGAAGGACAGCGAGTACTCCATGGCGCCGAAGCCGAAGACAACGGCCAGACTGCCGGCGAACGGGTCCCGAGGCAACACCGACCCACTCAGCTCGAATTTCATGGCTGACGGCGGCGCGACGAAGGAGATCGAGTCCATGGAATGCGTCATTCATGCCACGGGTGATCAGTTTCGAAACATCCTCAGCGGTCTACTCCGAGGCATGTTGAACCAAGTGAAAAACAGACATGGCAGATAAACAACCCGAGAGGCGAACCACCGAGGTGGAGACGACAAGCAATCCGCCGAGGTGTAGACGAAACCCGCCGAGGGGGAGACGATCGTGGAGACGAAACCTGCCGAGGTGAAGTTGATCGTAGAGAGGAAACCTGCCAAGGCGGATATGATAGAGACGAAACCCGCTGAGGCGGAGAAAATCGTGGGGACGAAACCTGCCGACGCGACGCCAGCCGGCAGGAGCAGCCAGGAGCCGAAGAAAGTCTGCCTGCAGCCCTCGGACGAGCAGAACAGCGAGCCTGCGACGCTGAACGCGAAGGAGATCCGAATGACCCTGGAGGTCGGTTTGAAGACATCGCCCAAGAAGGACCGCGCCGCGGCGATGAATTGGGACGAGAAACCCTTCCTGCGGCCTATGGTGATCGATGCAACGCCGCCCTCTCATGGCGAGGGCGTCCTGGCGGAGAAGAGGATGACAATGTTTCTTTGCAACACAGGCGTAAGGAACACGGAACTAACAACATGGAGGCATGACAAGCACATGAGGGGCAGGGCTTACGCAGTCGCGCGGCAGATCGAACGCCACGGTCCCGAAAAGGCCTGCAGCACCAGGCATTCCACCTGCAGCGCAAGTTCGACAAGACAACCGAGTTTTCGCACCCGCAGTGCGTCGTCAGCGACCTCGGCAGCGACACCTTCAACAACAACAACTCAACATCCTCGATAGCGACACCTTCTACAGCAACCTCGACAGCGATACCTTCGACAGCGACACCTTCGCCGTCGACAGCTTTGGCATCCTCCTCGTCCCCGACGGCTCCGTGGGCGCCACCGCTCCCAAGGTGGGCGCCGCCCAAGAAAGGGCCCCATCGCCTTGAGGGTTGAAGACCCCGAGATCTGAGCGGCGGCTGGGCCGTCTTGGGCCCTTCTTGTGCCGTCCTAGAACTTTCTTCGGGGCCTCCTGGGCCGTCTTGGGAGCCATTTGGGGGCCGCCGTGGACGCTGTGAACGCCCAAGGGGCGAATATGCGAAAGCTATACGCTTCCCCGAGGGAACGGGATGGTTTTTGTCGCGTGGGGCCTTCTTGGGGTGCCTCTTTGGAGTGCCTTGGGGCGTCTTGGGGCGCCTTGGGGCTGTCGCGGTGTCATCTGGGGTCGTCTTGGAGCTCTCGTCGGGCACTTTCGGGGGCCTTAAGGGCCAATCGCAGGCTGTCTTGGTTGGTCCTTGAAGATGATCGGGCTTTCTGGGACCTCCAGGGGTCGTCAGGGGAGGTCGGGGAGAAGGGGCGCCGACGTACAATGGGGGCCAGCCTGGGGGCCGAGCCCGACCTATCGTTCTAGCTACATGTGTTTATAGAAAGTTATGAGTCGATACATAGTTGTATACATACACATATGTATATACATAAGTGTATGTGTATGTATATAAAGTTGTTCTACACATTTTGTGTGCATGCAGCTATGTAGCTTTGCACGTATGTATATACTTATGTACGTATGCATGTACGGATGGTTGGATGTGTGCATGTGCGTACATATGTCAGTATGTGTGTACGTGCGTACGTACGTATGTATGTATGTACGTATGCGTGTATGCGTGCATGAATGAATATATAGTTGGTTGTTTGTGTGTTTCTGTGTACGCGTGTATGTAGGCATGTCGGTATATAGGTATGTGTGTATGCATGTACGCGTGTACACATGAATGCATTGACGTGTATATACGGTTATACATATATATACATATGTGCCTGTGTAAATTAACGTTCGCAGGAATGTATGACTGAATACGTATGCGTGTTTTGAACTGTATCAGTACGTTCGCGTGTGTGAATACATATGACACAGGATATCATCACCATAGGTGTTTTACATGCATGGCATATGTATCTACTCCAGACAGCATCTATATATATACACTGACCTATGTCCATATGAAGCTCTATACATACACGTACGCACTCGAAGCTGAATACTCCTCCGTCGCTCTCGCCCGCCAAGAACATCAAAATAACTTCGACGTTCGATCTTCGAAGTCCGATCCTCCGCCGTCGTCCTGGTTCCTCCTCCTCCTCCTCCTCATCATCATCATCATCCTGCCGCCCTCCCGCGCTATGGTCTGGCGGGGGCGCCCGAGAGGTCGACGCGGCGGCCTCCACAAGTCCCCGTGGTGGCTTTTCTTGGGGACCCAAAGCAGGCCGGAGGTCACCCTATAGGCTTGATCCCCGAACCTCGCCCTTCGCCCTGCTCGTCTTCTTCGATGTTGCACTCCCACCTCCCCTCGTCTTGAAACAATCGCGACGGACAACCTCTGGCCAATATTGGCCTCCGGGGGCCCTTTCTGGGCCCTGGGACCATGAGAAAGCGACCTAGGGTGAAGGGAAAAGGTCGGGACCTTAGGAGTCCAAGGTTGTGAAACAGCATCACGACGCCGGAAACCTGTAGCCGCCTCCTCGTTTCCGAGCCTCGCAACCCTCAAGGAAAACTCGTCCGAACACTTCGAGCCTTCAGCCTCACCCCTCGCGATCTCGTCATCGCTCCTCCTCCTCCTGCGCCGCACCCCGTTTCCCCAGCTTCGAGCCTCGAGCCTCGTCCGAAATTACACGACCGAGGAACCCCAAATACATGTTCGATGGTAAGCGCGCACCACCGCTACGACAACAACGAGTATTACTATTACGACTACTACGACTACCACTACTACTACTACTACTACTACTACTACTACTACTACTACTACTACTACTACTACTACTACTACTACTACTACGACTACGACTACTACTACTACTACTACTACTACTACGACTACTACTACTACTACTACTACTACTACTACGACTACGACTACGACTACGACTACTACTACGACGACGACTACTACTACTACTACTACCACTACTACTACTACTACTACTACTACGAGTACTACAACTACTACCACTACTGCGACTACTACTACTACTACTACTACTACTACTACTACTACTACTACGACGGCTACTACTACTGCTACTACTACTACTACTATTATTTTGACTACAACTGCCACCACGACTGCAATAAACACTCCTACTACTACTACTACTACTACTACTACTACTACTACTACTACTACTACTACTACTACTACTACTACTACTACGACTACGACTACTACTGAACTACTACTACTACTACTACTACTACTACTACTACTACTACTACTACTACTACTACTACTACTACTACTACTACTACTACTACTACTACTACTACTACTACTACTACTAGTACTTTTACTACTACTACTACTACTACTACTACTACGACTGCTACTGCTACTACTAGTGCTGCTACTACTACTACTACTACTGCTGCTACTACTACTACTATTACTACTACTACTACTGATAACACAAACACTTACACTGAAACTACTACTACTACAACTACTACTACTGCTACTACTACTGCTACTACTACCACTACTTGTGCTAGGACGACGACTACTACTACTACTACTACTACTACTACTACTACCCCTACTACTACAACCAGTAGTGCTACTACGATGGATACTATTATGACTACTACTACTACTACGACTACTGCTACTACTGCGGCTACTACTACGACTACTACTACTACTACTACTACTCCTTCTGCTACCACGACTGCTACTAGTACTGATAACTACTCCTACCACGATCACGATCCATACTACTGTTAAAACTCCTACCACTATGAATGCCGCCGGTACTACTACTACCACTATCACCCATACTACCATCTCTGTTCCTACTACTACTACTGCTACTACCAGTACCACTACCACTAATCCTACTACTACCACTACTACTACTACTACTACTACTACTACTACTACTACGACTACGACTACGACTACGACTACCTGGCTACTATGACGACTACCGCCACCACTACTATCATTGCTACCACTACCCCTCTCACCACTACTACTACTACTATTAGTTGTACTTTCTCTTTTACTATGACTGTTACTACTACTACTGCTACTACTATTACTACTACTACCACTACTACTGCTACTACTACTACTACTACTGCTACTACTACTACTGCTACTACTACTTCTACCGC